AGTAAAATACTATACCAATAACTTCCTAAACAAATGCTCGAAAAATAAAGGTTTCCGAAAATGTAATAAAAATGCACTTATGCTGTGCACTGAACTAGCACTGAATATGCTCTGAATTAAACCCCGACTTCAACACCACGACAGGTTACCTACTTGTAATCCATGGGTGTCTGGTGATGCTGCGGTGTCTGTGGATGATGCTGTGAATGTTGGTGTGGCTGCTGCTGGTCATGAGGGATGGGGTAGACTGACATAAAGCTGTCATCCCGACCCCTCTTAGGGTCTCGCATGGCTGTGGAGGTGAGGTGGGGAGATGGCATCATGATAGGGGTCTGTATTCCTTGCTGCCATACCTCACTGCTGCTCTCCTCTGCAGAACAGGCAGAAAAAGTAAGAAAATATTTATCTATATATTCATTCAGTGCTGGTGTAAAATACATAGGATTAAATGTTTAGTGTGTTTAGAACTGGGCTTTTACACCAAAGTTCACAATGTCTAAGCACAAAATAATCATGAGGGTAATGAAGGTAATTTTTTTTACATGAATTTTCAAATCATCAGTGACAGCAACATTTCACTTCAGACTTTACTTTTGTCTCTGTATTTTATTTGCAGTGCTGTAATTTCTTTTCATGTTTGTAACATTTTTAGCAGTGAGAAAACCTCTGCTGTTCATATACAGTCTGCCACCAATCGATAAAGAACTATTTAATCTTACTCTCTGTCACCATCTGCTGTTCAATCTACTGGAACTCCTCATTTGATGGGCAGACTGAGCTGGGCTGCCAATAACCATCTGGGTTGGTCTGAGCTCTGTTACTGATTTTATAATAAATGTCCAGGGTGTAAGTACATGGCTATAAGGATCACTGAATATAGCTGATGATTTAATGTTGCTGAAGTGCAGGTTTTAAAAGATTTATAATAGAATTAAAACTCTGTGGATGTATTCCAAATATAGTAATTATTCTCCATAGGATTCCTGCGTTATAGTACTAAATAATGGCGATATAAATGGTTTGGCACGATATTGGATGGTCATTGAACGTGATCACTGATTATTATCACTTTATTCTTCTGATATTCATCAGAGATTAGTAATAAACTGTGATGTTGCTGTATTAGTTCAGCCTATTAATAGTAATTTTGTCTGAATAATTGACCCCAGATGCAGTAAAATTCATTTACAGCATTCCTGAAAGACTGAACTGACATGAAGAAGTGGATTCAGGGGTCAATTCAGTGGATTATTTGCCTACATTTCACCCCATCCCCTGCCTCCTCATTCATCAGTTCATCTTCACTGGTCTCTTCCTCTTCTCCTCCTGCCTGGCAGCTTCATCTCCAACATCCTCTGTTGCAGATCTCCAAAATGCTCCACCTTAACTGTCCCTCCGTTCGATTCAATTCCAATCTTCTCCACCCTCCTCCAACCTAAAGCTCAGCTTCTTTATCTCCACTTACATCTTCAACCTCCTGTCATGCATCACAGCAGGTCTCAACTATCTAAACAAGCTTTCTTTTTACTTGTGCTGCTATCCTTATGTCATAGTATGAAAATTAATAATGTTGATTCCTAATGTGCTATACCTTCTGGTAGCTTCCTCTTAGCTGCTGACGTTCCGGCAGTTGCAGCAGGAGGCTTGGTCTTCTTCGAGCGAATGGAGGAGCCTCTGCTGGAGTACCCACTCATCACTGACATGGTGTCATCATCTCCTCCAGCCTGCAGAGAATTCCTGTAGGAGATGAGGGGGAGCCAGCAGTCCTCTCGCTGCAGAGCCATCTGGAAAGTCATGAAGCGCTCTAGGTACATGTGTCTGGGGGAGTAGATGGAGGTCAAACAGACAAAACCAATCAACTCATGCATTCATACGTACAAAGAACTGGGCTCGCACATCAAAACCACCAGTTGCACCACCCACCTGTTAGCTTAGCAAAAAAAAAATAAACGAACAAAAAAAACCCCAAAACTTACACAGTCCTCTTGTCTCAAACGAACAAAAAAACCCCCAAAACTTACACAGTCCTCTTGTCTTGTCTCATTAGTTTGGAGGAGAACTCGCTGAGGATGTCTAAGAAAGCCAGGTTGAGGGGAGGGCCACCTTCTCCCTGGGGACTGGGGTCCTTAAATGCAAACTCTATACCATCCCTAAGAGTAGAAGTTAGAGACGGTTAAAGGTGGGGGATGAGAAACACAGTGAGTAGAAACATACTGGATACATTGACTCAATCAAGGATAAACCTCTCAGACTTTTTTTTAACTTTTCAGTTTAATTGATGCATACTTCAGTCATTTTGATGAATACAAGAGGTTTATATAAGAGCTGTTTTAATTAACAGGGACGCAGCTCTTAGTTTTCTATTTACGACCTCAGTCTTAAAAAGCTGTGCTCAGAATTAAAACCTGTATAAAAGGTTAGAATGTGAATATGTTTACATAACCTGTTTTTACACAAGCTAATAAAAGTTACTTCAATTAGGCATAAGCAGTCTGTGTTTTTTTCACCTTTTTGTTTTTAACATTTATTTTAAAGTTCAACAACAAACAATGCATTAGCATAGAAATACCTTTCCTGTGCATGGAAACTGAACAGTGAAAAATAAACAATTGCCAACTGGCATTCTGGGGATAATTTAACATGGCCAAATGTTAAAATCAACGTAGTGGAAACAGCAGCAGAGTTTTAGAAGGGAAGAATAAAACCTTACTTGTGGAGCATGGCGATGGCATCTCTAGTTTTGACTTGGTCGAGACCAAAGGTTAGTGAAAAACGCCGAGCCAGCTCTTTGATTCCACAGAATGCAGAGGAGGAACGATCGAACCCGTGACCAAGGTCAGACAGCATTTCATTGAAGAGCTGGCAAAAAGACAATGGGGAACAATTAATTAACTCTCTTCTAAAAGCTGGATATGTGACCAAAGGTCAGAAACCAAAATAATGGCAAAAGGCCAGTAACTCACTGACCTGCTGCAGACTGAGGATGAGCGTCTTGGCACATTGAATCTTGTCTATTTGCCGGGTCTTACTCATAGTCTCCTTGATGATGTCACCATAATCATTATAATACTGCCGAGACAGAAATACATTACTGAGCAATTAAAAGATACTGGCAACATAAACTATTAACAGATGTACAGTTCTCATTAAAAAGTATCATTTATACTAACCCGCATGTACTGTTTAAAGATGTCAGCGCCTGTACTCATCTCCACCACACAGTAGATGATGAGTTTACAGTAGGCAGCCAACAGGTTTCTTCTTTTGTGTAAAGCTTCAATCTTCACAGCTTCATCATCCTGTTGTCCATCTACAGAGGAAGAGGAAAGACGTGGTTGAAAACGTAGTTTGGTTGCCAACAATTCAATTTCTAAAGTTCTTCCTCACCTGGTATATGGGAACTAGGGTGTAAGAAAATTGCAATATTTCATTTCATATAACTGTATCGATATTCTACAGCACTGTTGCAATTTTTTTATTGATAATTAACATGCGAATATTCATGGCCTTGGCTCATTTTTGTGTTTTGTTTTTAAACCAGTGTATGCTAGTTGATTGTGCAGGGACTGCATATGTTTGCAAGTATTTCAGACATTGGGTCAAACAATCTTACTTTTTCATTTGTTCTTCCAAAAAATCCTGCAAATGCTTTTATTTCTTCTCTAGTGATTAAAAATGTACATCCCTCTGATCAAATGTTAGCAACCTGATGTGAACTAAGCTAAAAGTACATGAGTTACTTGAGGAAATGAGCTTCCATGTGTACCTGTACTGTTTGAGTCATCATCCTGATCTATGAAGACGTGGTTTAGGATGAAGGCGAGGAGCTCGGACTGCAGGGAATCCTCCGGAGAATAGACAAGAGGCTCCAGGTGTTCTCTGCCCCCAGACACCATCTGGTGGCTGAAGATGAGCAGTAGATCACACAGGATTGTGAAGGCCTGCAGGATGATAAAAAGGACACAAAGTAAAACTCAAAGAAAAAGAACTGTTCTATTGGCCAATTGAGTGTATGGTAACCAGCAGAAAGCACAAAAAAGTATTATATTTGTCTCAACTAGGGGGCACCAGTACGGGGGAGGTTGAAGATCTCCTGCACTTTACTGCACTAATGGAGGCAGGGAAGTTACTTAAGCGGGTTAGACCAGAGCCCCATGAAGGCAGAGAAACGAGTCAGCAATCCTCCAACTACTTCCTTAACCAATCGGCCACAGGTTTTATTCTTTCTCTTCAATAGGCTTTCAGCACAACTGCAAGTCTCCTGTAGGAGTGATGTTTAATACCTGTTCTTTGACAGAAGTGTTGACATTGGTGAGGTAGCGCTGACACATCATACAGAACGCCCTCATCTGCTTCCTCAGTGTCATCATGTCATCCTAGTTCCCAGACACAGGAGAAATGTCTTTATATTAACACTTAAACACAGAGTACATAGAATTCTGTTTAAAGCAAGAAAGAATTCTAAACAGTTCCAATTTAGGGTCATAAACAATCATTGTTACTATTTCAGTAGCCAGGTTGGTGTGTGTTGTTATTATTATTGTTGTTTATATTTTTTTATATTATTATAATATTTATAGTATTGTAATTATTATAAAAATATAATAGTATTTATTATAATAGTATAATATTATTATATTATTAATATTGGTCTCATTTTTACAAATCATTCAATCAAGAAAAAAGAAAAGAAAACAAAAATGAACAGGGTGACCTCACCTTCCGGGAGCTGCCCTCTGATATCTTGGCCAGGTGCCATAAAATCACATAGTGGGTACACTGCAGCGAGTGGATTACTATCTGTTCACAAAAGACAGATATAAGACCAAGTCAAAGGTTTATTTACTGGACTTCCTCATTAATAACATGTACAGTGATTACAGGTAGATCATGGTTGTGTGTAATGACCTGCTCAGGCATATCGCCATTTTCAATGCCCGTGTTAAGTAGCTTGAAGTTACTGGTAAAAAGATCCCACCCTGATAGGTCATGAGCACTGAAATAGAGATTTAAAAAGTTAGATTTAAAGACACAAGAGTTTAATTACTTAAGTAAAAAAGTCATCGAAGATAAATGTCATACTTGTGAAATGCTGTGATCCTTTTTAGCGTTGACAAAACCTGATATGCATCATCCTCATCCGCATCTTCCCCCTGGGAAAAACAAATAATTGTAATTAAAAAATAAACTTATTCATGAAACGGTGATGGGATTTACACCAGTGGGAAACATTTTGACGAATAAACAACAGGCATTTTGTGCAGCAGTAAGGATTTTGGGAAATGAATATTAGTGGATGTGAAATTCAGCAGTAGAGGATTATAAATGTTTTATACAGAAAAAAGACAACTATTAATGTGCTGATCTAACAACGTAGTTACTGTGTCCTTTTTACCTCTTGTAGAAAATCCTCCAGTAGCCTGTTAAATTTGTCAACAAGCTCGTCCAGCAGCTGGGAACGAGCAATATCCACCCTGTTAAAGATTGTGAACTCCTCATTGCAGAGTGCGTGGTAAGTCTTGGAACAGGTTTCCAAAACTTCAGTGTCTGTGTGCTTCTCCACAATCTCCTTGATCTGACGCAGCAGGGATTCCAGGTGCTGGGTTCGACAGGGAATAAAAAGACATAAATGAATAGAAGAAATTATACAAGTTTTCAACAGTGAATGAATTTAGGTTATTCTCTATTGTACCTTCTCCAGACGCCCTGTAGTATAAATCTCCAGGTCAAAGAACTGAGGCAGCTGCAGTAAATTTGTCACTTTCTCAGAATCCACAGCATACTGTAAAACCAGACATTAATTAACAAATGTTTTGGCGGTGACTCGTAAAAAAACAGTAAATATTAAAGGACTGTATGGGATTTACCAACCTTGGCCAGTAGAGGGGGCAAAGCTACGGCAAACAGCTCTGTCATCCTTGTTCGATCATCCAACTGAGTTTTCTTCTCTTTAGCCGTCATCACCTGAGAAAAGCATGTGCATGTGCTCAGGTCATTATTCGCAAAAAGGTTTTTTAAATAGGTTTCTAAAGGTTAACTTTACAATATTTCGTTTAATTTATTCATTTATTGTTTAATTTTAGTTTTCAGGAGTGTAAAAACAGTGGTGAGATGTGCTTTGTAATTAATTAAAATAATACTGTGTTTGTCCATACCAGGACTGTTGAAGCTAATGTTAGCACTGGTGTCTGTGCTCACAGGAACAAATTTATAACAGGTAAAATGTTAAAAGATCTATTTTAAACTCTGTTTTTTCTTAATTCTTTTTTTCATTGCTCAAAGTATCTTTAACTCCACTTACTCTCTTCCCTGTGCCTCTTCCGACTGGTGGGTGGCATTCAGCTGCCTGGCGAACTGTGCACAGCATGATCTCTATTAGGGCTGTCTCCTGTCTGTCGGTAAGAGCTGCCAAAAAAAAAAAAAAGGAAAAGAAAATTACACATTTAGGCCTGGTCAGGGTTTGCGTTTTATACAATGTCAAATCAACTGAATTTTATTGTGATGCTTAAAAAAAAGAGACAAACGTCTCATCAAAAACAGCACACGAAGCTCTCAAGAAATGTCAAACCTTCTTCTCCTGGCAGAGGTTCATCTAAGAGTAGGCTAATCATACACTCCCAGTCCTTCAGTAGCTCTGCACCGCATTCCCAGAGAGAGTCCACTAGGTAGGCTGCATGTTCATGGAGCTAAGAAAGAGGAAGAGGGACAAATGAGCACTTAAACCAACATTAAGGATGGAAATATTACCCTGTGTCAGTCTGTGATTGTGTACCTCACTCTCCAGGAAGAAAAAGACAGTGGTCTTTATGAGGTTGGCATTTGGACTTTGCCTGCCTCTTCTCTTGGGGGCACCTTCCTCCTCTGGCTCCCGTTGGCTGAATAATCTTTAAGAAAACAAACAATTTTACTAAAAAAAAAAACACAGTTACATATCAATAAGGCAGAACAATGACCTAAAAAGCCAAGAACTGGACTTCAGAGCAACTACAGCAAACAAAAAGGTTTGTGCTTTATAAAAAACAAACTTTGACAGTATATTTGAGTTATGTCAGACATACTTTTTAAATAGAAATTCGCCAGCTGCAATTGCAACCGGCCTGTGTGCAGAGTAGACCAAGTGATAGACGCTCTCACAATCTTCAGGTGTCAAAACTTCTTCTGTACTACTGCAGGGACAAGAACACAATCAATTTAAGTTGTGCAGGTAGGTAGGTGTGTTACGCATATAAAAAGTGTTTAATAACACGACACATGGATGAATAGTAAATAATGAAACATCGAAAAATAATCTTACTTCAAGACTAGAGTGAGCAGCTTAATTGCCTGTACAGCAACATCATACTCTTTGTCAAGAGTCATGGAGACGATTCGGTCCTGCAACAGGAACAAATAAGAGGATTTGACTTTGAAAACATGGAGTATGGAAATTGTGTTTCTCAATTATCAACTCGTTCAAACACTCATTCAAACTCAACATGTGTTTGATAGTTTGTTGCAACTCAAAACAACAATTGGTTGTTTTATCACATTTGTCCAGCAGGTGGTGCTGACCTTAAAGCGGCTGGTGAAAAGCTCCAGTCTTGCATTGAGCTCTCTGTTGTGGTAGAGGCCTTGCAATGCTGTCAGACACTTAAGACGAACTTCTCCTTGCTGAAAGAGAAAGTTAGGTAACAGAGTTTTTTTCAGTGATTAAATAATAAATATAAATTCTTTTGTACAGACGTGTGAGAATCTCAGTATTTTAAAGTTCTTCGGTTACAAAGTGATTCACATTTTGTCAAAAAATGCTGAGAGTTGGATAAAGACTGTTGTGATCATTTATATCCGTGAACATTTGCCACTCACCTTATCATGCATCGTCCAACCCACATACTTGAGATAGCTGTCGTTGAGGAAGGCATCACTGTAGAGTTTCATCCATACACCGATCTCTTCTATACAGATCGCCCTGATTTCCGCTATTGAATCGCTGTTAAAACATTGAACCACTGTTAGCTGGTGCACTGCATATGAAATAAAAATTAAAAATAAGTTTCTTTTCGTCACATAAAGTCGTACCGATATCTGTGAACAAACACTCCTTTGAATATTGCATTCATCATGTTTTCAATTTCATCCTGATTTTCTTGCAGCTGAAACAAAGAACAAATGCCAAATATTTTACTACTAATTTACAAATATTTTCATTTATTTATTTTATTTTTGGATTATCTGAAGAAAAATATTTTATTGTAGTCTATACTGATAGACTTGTAATTAAGAATCACCCTTACCTCTTTTCGTTTCTGCAGCAGCAACTCTAACCTGTCGTTGGCTCTTTTGGGGACCGCTTTATTTCTCTCCGACTCATACTGGCGCTGGGTGTTGTCCATATTGATGCTCAGGTTGAGTGCTACATTCACCAAGGCTGTCATTAGCTTCATGGCTGTCCAAAGAAAAAATAAATTAAAGAAAATAATCCACAGAAAGAAAATAAACAGTCTATTGTTTCAGTATATGCTAATGGTAAAGTGACTAATTTGCTGAAAACAAAGATGCTTCTAAATAATAATACAAAAAAATAAAAACAATTTTGAATGAGAGTGTCCAAAATCTAGGTCTGGTTAAAGTATGTCCATGAAGAAGATGCTAATTTAATCCAAACACTCCTGCAATATTTTTCCAGTATCACTAGACTTTATGAGACATTAAAAAAAAGTATAAGAATTATTTTGCTCTGCATTAAACTTGATATGAGAGCCGGTTAAACAGAACATTTAGGACAAGGACACTTTAGACAAGGGTTATATGGGCAGAACCCATACGCAGCACGTACATATATAAATTAAAATATATTAATACCCAAGATCTGCAACCATTTAAACAGAAATCACCGAGGGATGTAATGGTCTAACACACTGGGACAAAAACTACTCCGGTATATATTTGCTATGACACTGCAATCACCTCTTAAAAACAAAATACCCCAAAACTAAACCTATAGCAATGCACTGTATATATGCAAAAAAATATATGGCATTGCATTATGTTGCTGAGAATGACAGCTTCCGATGATTTGTCAATATACCAATTTGTAAACATACACAAGTCAAGTTACAATATTTTACCTCTACACAGAAGTAAAAACGAAGTCAAAAGTGATGTTTGACTGCTGAACATCCAGAGGAACAGACCCATACCTGATGGATACAGCCTACTGTATTACAAACAACTAATCATGCTCTAAAAATGAGTGCTATTATAACTAGACAGTGGTCTAGTAATCTAGAAAATATTCAATGACACCAAGTCCTCAACTTTACAAGCACAAAATGCCCAACTGTCCCATACCACAAGCTTTAACAACACATTCATCCAACATGGGCCTGAAATTCTAATCACTCAGCAATAAGTTAAAAAAAATGATGTGGAGGTTGTGTGCAGACCAAATCAATTTAACAACAAGCATTTTAACATTTCTTTCCCAGGACAGGGTGGGCTATGAAATGTCACAACAGCTGCAGGAGACATTCAATAAAGTTCCCACAGAACACAACACAGCTGTATCAAGGCTTCCATTGTTTCTGTACAGTTCTATGAAAATACATGTGAAGCATGGGCACAAAACTTGTGTAAGGTGTATCTACAGCTGCTGTAAGATATGTAATTCACCCTGAAATCTGAATGAACAAACTAGTACACAGAAATACAGACACTGCTCCTCCTACCTGCCAGTGTTGATGTGTGACGGAAGGCGCGGACTTGGGAGTCTGACAGTCCGGTGAGGAGAGAGATGACTGTGTCCATCATGTACTCATCGTAGATGATACTGTACTGACACTGTCGCACAAGCACGGCAATGAATTCACAGAAGCTTGATTTAAACTTCTTCCACTGGGGGCCAGCTATGGTTAGAGGGTAGTCACCACTGTCCTAAAGAGTCAACAGAGAAAACTTTTGTTTAGTTGTTTGTTTTATACTTAAACGTCATGATGAGTTTGATAGTTAATAGCTTTGTTTTCTTGTTTTCCAAATTCTACTGTATGTATAGAATGCTCTAAAGGTCATCAAAAAAGTCAAGTAGGTCGTGAAATTTTTGGTTGATTGAAAAGTTTTAACAACATAGGCTGATAAATGACACTAGGCCCAATTTAATAGCAATTGTATTATTTATTATATTATTTTTGGGGACTCCACGGTCTCATTGTTAATTAATTCTATTTGTACACAACAATGATACGTTTTCCTGCTATGAATATTTGCACTGACAACACTCAGCTTTATCTGACCAATTACTCATTATTATATTTTGCAGGTGATATAAAAATATTAATATTAAGACAGATGTACAAACGATAACAATAGAAACAATTTTACCTCATCAAATTCTTCTGTCATTCGTCGAATGATTTCAGAATTCTGCATGTTGCGAAACATTTCTCCACTGACCACACCTGGTGAAGTTAGACAGATGACAAAATTAGTAAATGATTAAAAAGACAAAGTCAAGGGACACAGATGAACAAAAATGCTTTAGTGCAACACCTATACAAAAGAAGTTTCTACATTACCTTTACATCCTGAGCACTGAATGAAGAAATTGATGAGGTCTAGAAGAGCAACATCTCTATCATGTTTGTATGACTCAATCCAGTCGTCCACGACAGACTGAAGGAACACAGGGTCAGTAGGTTTAGATACATAAAAGTAATATTAATAACAATACACATTATAAAGAGCCAGCTTTTCAAGCTTCATACCTGCATTGCACTCCTGCCCAGCCGAACCACTTCAAAAAGCATCATGTTTTCCATGCCATTCTCCTGATGATGCCCATTTAATCGACCTGCTCCCTTTCCTCCTTTGCCTTTCTCCCCCACTGCCTTCTTTGCTTTCTTACCCCCCTTAAGAAACACAGACCAGCAAAATTGATACCAAACTAGAACGATAGATTAGGAAAAACATTTGCACAAATAAGTATGACTGCGAAAGTTTACCTTTCCTTTAGTTGAGTTAGTAACTCTGCCATCAGGATCTTCAGAGAAGTCTGTGTCTGAAGAGAATCGAGTATCTGTATCCCTAATTAAGAAGAAAGAAAAAAAGTGAACTACTTATCATTGTGACACAACACACCACTACACACAAGGAAATGTGACCTCTGCTTTTAACCCATCACCAAAGTGAACAGTGGAGCAGTGTGTAGGGACACTGTGATGCTCAGAGCACCTCAGTGGTAACTTAGCAGCTGGTAGATTCGAACCTGAAGCCTTCCGGACCCAAGTCCGCTCATATAACCACTAAGCCACCACTGCCACAACATGAGCAGATGACTGGAGTGTCATAATCATTTAAATATTGGGCTAAAACTAGTCAATAAACAAGTAACATGTACTTACTGAGGATATGAGAACTCCGTTGGTATTTCTGGTGCTGCTATCATTTTTGAAACATCTTCTGAATAAGTTCAACTTAAGACTGGCTTTTGCTCTTCAGAAAACAGGGGATGGGGGAGGTTGCATGTGACCTGGAATTTGAAACAGTATTAAACAGAGGGCTACACATACAGACATTTCCGTTGAAGTGTTTATTGTTTCAACTAAAACAAAAAAAGTATTACAAATACAAAAATGCATGTTTGCATAAAGCACATCATTATTGTCACTTTGATACCAGTCGGGGAAAAAATGGTTTCACATGGTAACGGGGGCGGATACACAGATGCGGTTGTCACACTCGGCTGTCGAGCAATTGGCTCCCTCTCTTTCTTTGCTTCCCTTGGTTTACAGTCAACGTCATGCAACAAAGACTGGAGTGTCTTCCTCAATGGCCAAATATGGCACTGCCCTATACGCCCCATTCAGATCTCAACCAATTAAAAGACAGTATCAACATCAACAAGATACCAGGCCAAAGAAACTACTGCACGGCTGTGATGTGTGGATTATGACCAAATACATATGAGAGTCCGGAGATTCAAATGGAGAAACGGGGACGTTTTATTTTTGTAGAATAAAGATAATACATTTTGAATTAGCAATCAATGAAGAGACTAACAAACAACAAATAAACAATCCAGCTGCATGTTTTATTACAGTAAAGTAGCAAAACAGATGATATCGAATTAACAACCATTAAACGGTTAATGTGAAGAGAATTATAATTGAATTTAGATAACATTCCCTAAAATTGTGTTTAATTTGTTTCTGCTTTTCTATATGACGTTCGACACGTGTTAAAAGGACTCTTCATATTATATTTTAGGTCTTACTTTATTGATCAGCAAGAGCCGATGTTAAAACCAAAATATAACCAAACTCCAACTCAACTTGGAAACGTGTAAAAGGGATACGTACACAACGTCGAGATTACATTTTAAGATAAAACATAAAGTGAGCGTAGCTGTTTATTTCCTATACTGTGAGCGTGTGACAAGACGACGGGATTCTATGGGTGTTAACTGGAAAAGTGGCGCCAAATCGAGCAGTATATGACATAAACTTATGACTGTGAAACTAAACCAAGCGATTCTAAATCGCAATGAGCCATAAAACACAACTATGGGGTTTTCTACTAGGAAACGATGGCATTAAGTACCGACTCAGAACCGTTCAACAACGCCGACTCAGCCACACTCTGTGGCGGCTCCTGTCAAAATTGACACCGGTGCGCTGCTTGGGCTAAGTACTTAGCTTTTTACGTCGGCGTCAGCTAGTTGGGTCCTAATAACGCGAATACTTTTTTAACTCAATGGTGCAAATAGCAAAATAAAAGGCACGATTGTCCGATTAAATGTATTCTGGTTAAACTGATTAAGAAGCCAACCTTTACGGACGATGCCGTAGTTAGTCCGTAAAAACAAGACAACACACCATCTCTACTGTACTAGCCTGGACTAGCATTAGCATAAATACTATTACTGCCGTTTACGAAGATAATGCCTTTCCGGTGCATTTAAAACTATGGACAGATCGTGTTACTCAATCGGAGAAGAATATAATAATTCAATATTTGCCGAAATCAGTAACCCACGAATAACTCCAATCAGTTAGCATTGCTAATGCTACTGCTAGCGTACCTAAAAAAACATCACGTCCTTGCGTCCTCCATCTTGCCTCGGGAGTTCCAGCGCTGTATTGCATAAGCAACAAACACTTTGTTTACAAATACAAAGTGTAAGTAAATTGTTTTAAACTACAATAAGTATCACCCGTTCAATAGACAATATTTCTGTGGCGGCGTGCCTACAACTCAAAATGTTAGCGTGCTAACAGCCGAAGTAGCCATGTACGGCGAGCTAAGCAGTAGACTGGGTTCAGGCAGAGACAGCCGCGCTCCGAGCCAGGCTAGCAAAATACAAATCAACTAACTTCCACAGAGCTCTCCGCCATTTTACAGCTAACTTACCTTGTTGTGAAATGTAATCCCTGCCCAATTGCAACTTTTATTATACTTGTACAGGCTTCGTCTGGATATCACCGCAATTCGCCAAAAGAGTTTAAAAGTCGCGGTCAGAGGCGGTTTCGGACGTTCTCTCACCCCGCTTGCTCCGTAGTTCGGTTTGTTGTTTCGACGACCTGGGAGGAGGAAATCCTGGTGGAGAGCTACCACCTAGTGGTCACAATACCCATGTTTCACACATAATTGAATAACTGACATCTAGTGGTCAGTGTTGAGCACTACACCTGAAAGGTTCGTTTGTCATGGACATTTTTACATTAATATTTCCGCGAATGTAGCGAATAAGTAAAACGGTAATAACATGTCAGACATATCAGTATAAGTACACGAAAAATAAGGCTGTGTTTTAAGGCCTGTAAAAGCCTCAGGCATTGAAAGATATGGAGAAATTTCAGCCCAATAAGCATAATATTAGCGTTTTTTCAATTACAAACTTTGTTAAAAAATGAACAAATTTTTCAGTAATAAATTCTATAACAAGTGCTCTAGTGTAAAAACATGTGATTGGGTTACTTTTTCCTTGTAAACATAAATGTTGATTTGAATGTCTGCTTTTGCGATCCTGTTATGGAGAACGATCCAGGGGTCTGACTCCACCCTTACCTGATAACTGCAGATATTAGGTCCAGCTTTCTATGTGATTCTGCAATGTATTAAGAGATAGAAGATAAATACATTCATCAGACATGAACAGTTTAAGAAATGTACCTTCAACATACTCCTACAAGGTTTAAAATTTCAGCTAAACACACAAGGATTATCAAACCTTAAGGTGGTTAAACATTAGCAATTAAGAAAAGCAGCAGAGAATTAAACTGGTTGTTTTTCAGTTAGAACATTTGAAATTCTTACAAAGTCAAAAATAATTTTCTGAATTAATTTTTCTTTAGCTGAACTTCCCCTCCAAATTAGCCTTTACCTATGTGATTTATTGTGAGTCAATAAAGTAACTAGTAAATTATAAAGTAAATGATGTCCTGTTGACCATTTGAGAGGAGTGGACAATACATATATACTGTATATTAGATGGGAAATCACCAGGCTGAATAAGAAAGTTTTTTTTGACAGAATTTAATAAAATTACAATTTTGTTATGAAAAGCTATAAAATGCAATGGCAATCTGTTAAAAAAATTCATGCTCCAAGTCAAATCAATCAGATTTATTCACTGTCGGGAAAACAAAATGTATAATGGAATGGTAATGATTTAATAGCAAACTGATGAATTACTGGTCCAAAACAGGAGTTGATTTGTTACAGTAAAATCGTAATAGCAATTATTTATGGTATCAATAAAATTCAAACAGAGCAAAAAGTTTGTTAAAAAAATAAAACACTTTATGAAATGAAAGAAACTGAAATCAAACCAACAACTGGTGTTTAGTTAAGTGTTGCTCAGCATCCAGAGTTAAACTAAACCCACAAAGAGACAACTACCGGAGGAAGGCCCCTCTAGTAGGAGAGTAGTGTATCCACTGAACATTATGTGAATCAATGTTGACTATATACACGCTCATCTGTACAAAACAATCTCAAAGATTGTCAAAATATAAATTTCAAATATCTGTGTCAGCCGTCAGAGTATTGTCTCGGAATATATTATAAGCATTTTACATCTTTTTTATTATTAAAATAGAACATTATAAACACGCTGTGTAAGCAGCAATGCAGGTCAGTAAGAGACTGTCTGTGGATTCCTTTAGGAAATGTATGTTTTGATCTTCTGTGATATGGCTCCACAGCATATTGGACATTTGACGAGCGACTTTGAGCAGCTGTCACAGCTAACCAGGTGTCCACAGGGGATGAAGACCACGCTAACATCTCTGTCCATACATATTTTACACTGTTTCTCCCTCTGAAGCTCCCGCAGTTTTTCTACGGGATCCTCATCTAGAAGAATGTGAACCAAAAAAAAAAGTAAACAGGAAGAAAACATTTAAAACTAACATTTTCTTGTGTGGCTTCCATTTTATATACAACGCTCTGCAAACCATTAACTAGGATTGTAAGAAAACATCAATTACTGGAATATCGTGATATTACGTTTTTATCAGGTCCATATTCTACAGCACAGTATTACTACAATTAAATTGTTTTTTTTTTTAAACTCTATATATTATCATGCCCATGGTATTGCAGTATAACGCGGTATATTGTATAGATGTCCCTGTATCGTGACACACATCTTACTGCCAGATTCTTAACAATACACACCCCTACCACTAACTTACTCTCGACCAATTTTGAAATCGTATAAGGTTACATGAGTGGGGCCAAATGTTGTGTTTGGAGCAGAACCTTGTTGTTCTGACTCAGGAGACACGTACCTTTATCCTCCAACGGAGTCGCTCCACTCGTCGGTGTGTTCTTTATGGCATCTTCTAGAAGTTCCTCCAGGCTACAATAACCTGAGCCGGTCTGACGCAACTTCTCCTTGATGGTCTTCTCCACCACACAGGGGTCGAGTCCCTTCTCTATGGCCTCTCGTGCCAGGGCAGAATGCAGCAGCTCTGTAGAAGAAGATGGAACATCAGTTTTCACTGAAACTGCATTTTGTTGTTTTTGTTTATTCATTTACAGAAGAGACCAGGCCAGACAGGTAAGGTGGAGCAGTTTAAAGCTGAAGTTAGAAAAGGGGAGGGTGAGATGATCTGGACAAGAGCTCACAGGGGACAGTGGAGACACTGGGAAAAAGGTGCTGGACATGGAGCTGACCGGCAGCAGGACAGGAGACCAGAGAAAGGACACGATGATGAGTGTGTGTGTGTGTGTGTGCAGATTAAATTAGTCAGATTACCATTTCTATTTGCAGACAATCCATTCTGAGAACTTGAAGTCTAAAAAAACAAGCACAGAGACAGTTAGTCAGAAGCCAAGCTGGACACATCACATGTGTGACACTTATCACATGGAACATTTTCCAACAGTGGTATAAAAATAAATTGTTTTTGTTGAAATATCAAATTACTTCACAAATGAGTCATTCACTGCTTAAACAAATGTGATAAATGTTTATTCCTCAATAAGTGGGAGGGTATAGTGGCTCTTTTATTCTGAATGATCAGATATAATCCAGTACAAAGTACTAAATCATTAACACCAGGGTCATCTGAGGACATGCTTACAGCTCTATTCTGACGTGCGCCTCGCAGCTGAATGTTGTTGACAAATTCTTGTCCCTTTTCTTCTATGAGGAAAGGGCACCTAAATTAAAAGGAAAAGAAAACATTTAAACAAAGAAATACAGGTAAATGATACAGGTACAGAGAGAATTATTCCAGTTTCACAGAGCAGTCAGAGTTTTTATTGTCACAAATGACCTCAGCATTGCTCTCACCCTGGGTAATGAAGGGCATGTTCCTCCCATGGGTCTTCATCTTGCTGCCAGCCCAGCAAGCCTTCACCACAGCAGAAACACAGCACCCTGTCTCCAGTGCCTGTGAGCAGACGGAAAAAAATTAAAGGTGTTAAATAAAATAAAGACAATGTCATATATCTAGCTTTTCATTGGTCTTTCCTTTACCTGTGCTGTAGAAGCCAGCTCTGGCAAGTCTCTCATGGTCAATGGGATGCTGGACACCTGAAAAACTCTCCAGCCTCGCTTCAAAACTGCTCATACGGCCGCAGGTGTTTTGATGTCTCCTGACTTCACTGTCCTCCTCCATTGTACTCCCCTGTATGGGATGCTGGACACCTGAAAAACTCTCCAGCCTCGCTTCAAAACGGCCGCGCGTGTTTTGGTGTCGCCTGACTTCACTGTCCTCCTCCATTGTACTCCTCTGTAACGGGACATTACCCACATCATGTCCAAGTATAAAGAAGCAAAAATTATAATGTCTGGCATGTTCTCCCCAGGCCGTGTCTCCTGGCTCCCAGCCACTCAACATGCCAGCACAGCAAAAACACTGCACTGCGTCGTTAACTCCTGTGTAGTAAAAGCCAGCCTCGGCCAGATCCTGTGGTCTCACGGGCGAATTCGATGGCCAGGAAGAGAAGGTCTGGAGCCTGGCCTCCTCGTTCCTCATGTGTGGAGCCATTGGATACGTGGATTCATCAACAACTTCGCCTGTTCTCAAAGGATAATTCTCAGGTGATTCTTCTTCGTATAGAAAACCATTTGGTTTGAAGTGATTGGAATGAACGCATTTGAGAAATATGCAGCATGGAGACACCTGCAGCAGAAGAATAGAGAGTTTAAAGGAGAGAGGTCACAGTGTCAAAACTGAGAAATTACAGTGCTGACTTAAACTACAGTAACTCAGAGTGAAAGAAAATATCTTTTATAAAGATAATAAAAAAACCGATGTACAAGTGTCAGTACCTGTTTATGTCTCTCTACAGGCGCATCTCCCGTCTGCCAGTTTTCTACAGTCTCACGACAGCTGAAGCATTTGACACGGTCGCCGTGGCCGGTGAAGTAGAAGCCGGCCTGGGCCAGTCTCTCTGCAGGCACCTGTTCTGCCAGGCCACAGCCACGGAACGATTCCAACCGGTTCCTCACCACAGAAAAATCTGTAAAGTTATCAGACTGCAATTCACCGTCCTGTGTAAATTCTGACATCACGGAGATTGCTAAGATGTATCCTGGTATCTGTAGATATCTGTAAATTAAACAGAGGGACAAAACAGAGTGAGTGTCAACACATTAAAAAAAGTATAGCCATTTCTGTAAATATATATTGTTGTATGAAGTTTTTTACATTCCTTAAAATAACTTACATGAAACCTACTACTGTTTACTAAACATTTAGAGGTGACTTTGTCTTTAAGAGGAAGTTGGCACATTATAATCACACCAAGGCTAAATATTTAATTCGGGATTGGCAAGGGTGGAGTCCAAAACGTACATGTGTGCCAAGGACAGGCATGCGAGTTCTTTTATACCTAAAATCCAAGAGAACTTATGGAATAACCCAATGATACCCACAATATAACTAAGATACTCAGTGAACTGATCTTCGTGTAAATAAAACAGAAGAAGTTTCAACGATTTTACAAACAACGCTTTTTTTGGAATGACCACAGTCACAGTTCACAATTTTCCTTTAGAAATCAACGTTAACAAATGTTACATAACCGCGATAACATTGTAACAGCAGAGTTGGTGGTCTTTGACCTGCGCGCCGCACTCGAACAAAGTACAGTTATTATCCTAACTATAAACACACGTACCGACCAGACCGGCCACGAATATTCGCGAATGTTTTCACGTTCATTAGTGCTTATGTTAGGAAAATGACAACGCGAACAGCCTGGTGTTTTACATCCGACTTTGGCAAATACACACACAACCACAAACACACGCAAGCGAATCCATATACGCGCGTGCAAGTACAGTGGCGCAGTTTGGGCTCAGCAACAACAGCGAACAATTCACAAAACACTAAGTTAAAAAAACAACTCTACATTTTGACCAACTGAAAGCCTTTGAGCCTCTGCTAACATTAACAATTACGTTAGCTTGGCTGAACGGAGGAAAAGATAGCGTCAAAGGCTAAAGGCTAAAGCTATTAAATACCAGTTAGCTTAGCTGCGTGGCGAGACAAAGTTACTCAACCACAACAACCACATCGACGGAAACTTATTTTACGAGCTTGTTGTTACCTTTCGGTGAGCTTTGTGAACCGTGTCTGCCTCAGTCCTGGTCACTGTCTACAAACGAGGGCAAAGATTAAAGAAGTGTTTGTTTTATATGACCTCGCTATGCGGAAGAGAAACCAAAGAGGTGGATCCACGCGCATCTACTCCTGCGCACACCAGCTGACCTGTGACGTATCAAAGCTGGACTTCCACAGAAGATCTTCTCTTTTATTTTTAA